AGTCAAGCCTATCTCCGATTTCATTGTACTTTCTAGATTCTAACATATTATCATTCCTTGAATAAGTCAAGCCTATCTCCGATTTCATTGTACAACAGGACACGTTCCCTACTCGTGGTTTACTTTCCATAATCCAATTCTTTCTATTTCTTTGATGGGGAATGCTAGCAACATTCTCTCTAACCTTCTTTTGTGGACATTCTCCTTTTTCCTCATGACATGTGTCATTTTCTCTACACTTAAAACAATGACATTAATGCATTAGACAATATATCTTTTGTTTCCAAATTTACACTTATTAAATGTATTAACTTTATTTTTCCTTCAATTTACAACTTAACTTAAACAATTAAATTTAAAAAATAAACACTAAAAGTTCAATTAAATAAATATTTGAAAATAAAAATGAATTATACTTCCCTTAAAAAAAAACTTTTTTTTATCAAAAATAAATTTTTCAATAAAACCGTTAAAAATTATGGAATTTTAAAAAAATACAGATAAATATTTTAAAAAAAATTAATGAACATTCTAATTGATTAAAAAAGTTAAAAGGTCAAAAGAAACAGAAAAAAAAAACACCCTGACCCATTACACCATCTCTCTCTCTCTGACCCTAAACCCAGTCCCCTTGGCCAAAACAACGGCCCCCATCCCTACCCAATCATCACCATTTCTCTCCAATCCAAAACCCCACCGTGCAATGTACTTCTCACTCTCTCTCCTCCTCCTATTCCATATCCAAAAACCCATCCCCCTTCCCTCACCCAAAAAAGAGTAAACAGAATTTTTTTTATTAAAAAAAAACTAACATTAATTTTGTGGAAGATGTTAAAATTTTCTCATAATTTTTTAACAAGGTGGAAACAAAGGCTAGTTTGTCCAATGCATTTAATAAGGGTAAATTTGGGAAACAAAATATGCATTGTCAAATGTATTAAAGACATTGTTTTAAGTGTAGAGAAAGTGATACATGTAAGAGCAAGTGTAGTGCAAGGCTGTGGCCAGGGCAAAAGGACCCCTGCCAGCCCAAAAGCCCCTCCAGCGCGCATTCCAAAAGCTAAAAGAGAACGTTGCTAGCATTCCCCTTCTTTGATAGAGAGTACATAAATGAGTATATTTATGGACTTATCAAAAACTCATTGAAAAGCTAAAAGCGTGACGCTGCATTCTTCTTCTCCTATTACAAAAGTATCAAACTTGCCACTCCATCAGTGTGAGACTTGTTTCCAATAAAGGAGAAAGAAATAGGGCTACTTATCGTCAAAGAAGTCATTAGGTTATTGGCTAAATGAATGTATCAGTATTATTATATGAAATCAAAAGCCAATGAAGTTGAAAGAAAATAATGAATAAGTTCATCCGAAAGGGAAAGGAGAAACAACAGTTGACTTCGGCAATATAATGGAAATTGCCAATCCACTCGTCCTTGGCCTGAGGGGTGACGAGCAGCACCACAGAATCGGGCAGGCGGTCCACCTCGGCTGGTTTTGTCTATTATTCAGTATACATGCCCACCCTAGTTAGGGCCGTGTTAACTTACTAACGGACTAGCATTTGAGTGCTATTGTGTGTGTGCACACGCACCTACAACCCCATATTTAACTTAGAGCGGTGCTATTTCCTCCAACCGTATTCCTATTTTCCTAATCACCTTATTTTCTACCCGGCCTAACTAGGGTGGGCAACGCCTTTACCTAAGAAAATAATTGTAAAAAGATTCATGAATGTTTTTAGACTATTTGAATTGTGAGCGTGTGAGTGGGAATTTCTGTCATCATTGAAATTTCTATTTGCAACCTCTTCTTCATCCTTGACCAATTCATGGTTTTAAAATTCTCTTTTTCAGACCAGGTGTGTTCATTTCATCCAGTTAGCATCATTGAAATTTCTATTTGCAACCTCTTCGTCATCCTTGACCAATTCATGGTTTAAAACACCGTCCAAATGAGTTTTGATAAGAAATTGGAAACTTCCCTCTAATTTCCTCGCAAGTTATCACGAAAACCTGCTGGTTCAAACAAAATTTTGCAAACTGCAGAAGAAAGAATATATATATATATATATATATATATATATATATATATATATTTGTAAATCTGTTTGAAAAAGAAACAAAGAAATAAGCAAAGGTCTCACTTATTTCTTAGCTTTCTTTCTGTGTTCACTTCTATCGGCTTCATTTTCTGACATTTCATTCTACGCACCAGAGTTTAGCAGAAAAAAATGAAGTCTCGTAGTTTTTCCTTTGTAAGATCCTCAGCGCCACTGCCACCGGAGATCCTCAATTCCATCATGAACAACATGAACAATGACTTAGGATCCTCAACGCCACAAAAGCACATCTTCAATTCCTTCAATGACTTAGGATCCTCAAAGCCACCGGAGGACATCTTCAATTCCTTCATGAACAACATGAACAAGATGGTGGCTGCTTCTGTTGGTAATAAAGCTTCAATCCAGAGCAATACAACACATAATTGTTGCCTATGTAGCTAGCTAGCTTTTCTTTTCATTTTTACAGTTTCCATTTTCAGAAAACTTGCATGAGATGTTATACTTTATATTTATGCTACAACAATCATGTTTTTTTTTTTTGGGCTTTTATGTTACTGCAAGCAAACATGCTTTCATTAATATGATTTATGACATTGACTGCCAAGCAGACAAAGCATGTTGTTAATTCAGAGGATATAATGAGTTGAACTAGTGCTAGAAAAGCAAAGCACTTAAAATTATAATCAGGATATAATTCAGGGCATGTAATCAAGACTTGAGAGAAGCACTTGATGAGTTAACGAAGGTATGAGGTAGTAAAATACGGGACTGACTGGTATAATACATATAAAATACACACGTGTCATAATGTTTCTCAAAAACACGGTGAGAAATTCGGGCCATTATATTAAAAAAATTATTAATTTTTTGTCATTTCTAGTCTGTTTTCAATAGTAGGTGAAAAAATACGAATGAAATACGTGAACAATATGTGTATTATTTATTAAAAAAATGTATGCAAAAAACACAATTTTCTATATACCTGAGAAGTGTAAGAAAAATTAAATATTTTTAAAAAATACGTACGTACACATATAATACACGAATAAGTTTTATACAAATATGTTTATATGTTCTCAATTTTGTTTTTCCTTTTCAGTTTATGGCGTGGTGTATATCGTTGCTGTTGCAGCCATTATATACGCCATTATTAACTGCGTCAAGAAGGCAGGAAGTACAATTCCAATGTATACCCGGTTACTCGACAGTGTTGACAGCACTGGCAAGGACTCCAACCAAATAGCAATAGACGTAAGAGCTGATCAGTTTCCGGTAAAAGTTGATTTTCCAACAACAATCAAAGGGTTTCTTAGCAACATGGCAAGAGAGAAGCCTGTAGCTTTCTCACCTAAGCAAATTGAAGAGTTCACAAATAATTATAACCCCGCCAACTTGTTGGGTTCAGGTGCTTTCGGAGTAGTATATAAAGGGCTTCTCGTCGACGGAGTGGAAGTGGCTGTCAAGGTCCTTACCAACAATAATAGTGCTAAGGTAGTTGAAGAGCAGTTCATGGCAGAAGTTGGCACTTTGGGAACAATTTGTCACATGAATTTGGTTAGACTTTATGGTTTCTGCTTCGACCCCGAATTGAAAGCACTTGTCTATGAGTACATGGAGAATGAATCGCTTGACAAGTTATTGTTCGACGAGAACAAACAAGTAGATTTGGAGAAGCTCCATGATATTGCAGTACAAATAGCACAAGGATTAGCTTATTTGCATGAGGGGTGTGGAAAAAGAATCATTCATTACGATATTAAGCCCGAAAATGTACTTCTTGATGAGAATTTGAATCCAAAGGTTGCAGATTTTGGACTTGCAAAGCTTTGCAACAGGGGAAGTAGTCAAATGGTGTTAACCAACTTTAGAGGGACAGTAGGATATGCAGCTCCAGATTTATGGAAGCCTTATCCTGTGACTCATAAATGTGATGTGTACAGTTTTGGTATTGTTCTCTTTGAGATTGTTGGAAGGAGAAGACATTTTGATGCTAATGCAAACGAGTCAAGTGAATGGCTTCCAAAGTGGACATGGGACATGTATAACAAAAATGAATTGGCAGTGTTGGTGTCTCGTTGCGGGATTGAAGAGAAAGACAGGGAAAAAGCAGAGAGGATGTTTTTGGTAGCTCTGTTGTGCATTCAGTACTCACCAGAAGAAAGGCCTCTCATGAGCAATGTGGTGATGATGTTGGAGGGACATATGGTGATTCCTCCACCACCTTTTCCATTTGAACATGGGCAATCTCCTCCACGAAATTTATCCCAACGTAGTGGAACAGATGAAGACTCGAATACTTCTGCATCAAGCACGAGGACTTCTGAAATAAATGAGATTGAGCTAGCTGCAGTTCAATAGGTAAAGAGATGGTTGTGTATCTATCAGTCAAAACTCAAAAGTTCATATATTCATGTTGGTTTTTCGTACCTTGATGAAATGGTTTCATTTAACAGTGTTGCAGACTAATGTATTTTATATGAAAAATATGCATGCTCTTCGTTCTTTATTGTACAAGAAGATTCACCACAGAAACTACAGAATTCATGGCTGTTGTATCCTCAATTTTCCGTTGTACAAGAAAAGGTTGCCATAGAAGCTAAATAGCTTTGAAGAAATATTATAATCCACGACTACTTTTGAGAATCTTCTTAGCAAAACGAGTAATGTAGCCAATCGCAATCGGTTGGGAGACAAGATTAAGACTACCTAGCATTCAGAATTCTTACTATTTTGTTCGTACTTTTCACATAAACAAACATGAATAATCACCTCAAGAAAGCGAAGCTATCTTGGGTGAGGCAAACTAAAAAAAGTAATCAAAATAGGTAGTTTTGGGGCCTCAATATGCCTAAAGACTTGATATTAAATATCCTCACAAAACTTTTAGCAAGCATGAAATCAAATGGTAAATGACTACAAACAAATGAAGGGGGAACAAATCCTATGTACTCTGTTTTAAACATTAAATGATGAAATTCACTTCATTGCCTACACTTCATTACAATTCTTTTGATCACCGATCATTTCTTTAACCAAATACATTGTATACAATAAGACTAAAAAAAGAAAAGCCGACCCTTCAGATCACAACTAAAGCAACTATCGATTAAAAACAAACTAAATTATCTGTTGGCCCCTTCGATAATAGGCTCTAGCAAAACAGTTAGCAGGATCAACTGGAGGGCAGATGTATGTTAGCCTCCCACAAACGCAAGCCTCTCTGGTTGACAAAGGCAACCCTTACTTGCAAATAAACTTGAGATCACCACTGTAATTGTCGTAAATATCTTACTTTTCCCCGCCTCCGAACATCCCCATCATGTCTTTACCAGAACCCATTTGCTTCATCAAGCTTTGTAAGCCACCCATGCCACCAATCTGCTTCAGCATCTGGGGAGGAAGGACTTTGCTCATATGCTGTGCATTCATATTTCGGGATAGTGCACTCATTTCACCCTTCTTTGGAATCTTAAGTCCTTTCATTTTGCTCCATATCTTGGCAAGGCGCTTGTACTCTTCAAACATCTCCATTACTTCTTTAATTTGACGACCAGAACCTCGTGCTATTCGCATTATACGTGACTCATTGATGAGTTTTGGATTTGAGCTATCCAACTCTGCAAGACAAGTTAAGCTACTCAGTTCAACATGATGAATTCAGTAGAACATGTGAGTTTCTTGTATTTTTTTTCCACCAAAGGAACTAAACATCACAGTTATTGTTCAAACTACGTGGCTTAATACACAGAAACAAAAGGAGTGGGCTTTACTTGCCTTCATTTGTCATCGAGTCCATCATGGTCATGTACCGCTTGATCTTCGCCTGGCTTTCCTTTTCACGACCTTTTGGCATTAATTCAGCACTGAATCCTGGAAGCATTGAGAAGACCTACATAAACAAAATAAATTCTTAGTCTGCAAGGATCCTCTCAAGTCTCAACTATAACATCCATGATTACATACCCTAAAGCTTCTGCATGTGCGTGTGTGTGTGTGTACGAGAGAGAGAGAGAGAGAGAGAGAGAGAGAGAGAGAGTTCATACATATTCATGAGTATGATTCTTACCTCCCCAATCTTCATGACATCAATAATATGGTTTCTTAAAATCCATTTACGACATTCGGGGGAGGGGAATTCAAAGACCTCTTTTATAGAGGAGAGCTATAGCTACTGAGTCAGAGTAATAAGCAGCATTTGAAAAAATGAAACAGCAAGAGAAAAGTTTGGGCATTTCTCAATTTTGGGGAAGCTGTAGGGAAGGGTCGAAGTTGGGTTTTAAGTGGTTTTTGCTAAAATTTAAATTTGGGGAAGAATTAATGAAGCTACCATAAAAAGTGAACATTATCCCTAAACATGCGAACGTAATCTGTTCTTATCTACAATTAGCTTCAGTAAATCCAATCAAACAAAGGTGCCACCTATTTAGTATTCAAACCTTGCATACCCTGCAAAACAGAAGTACAGAAGAAAGGGCAAGAACATAAAAGAGGCACGTTCTAGATAAAGTTCAATAATAGAGAATGATAACCTGGCTAATTGGACCCATTTTAAGTATGTTCTGAAACTGCTCATACATAATCCTTAATGTAAAGTTCCCTTCTGAAAGCTTTTGCAAGAGTTCTGGCTGTTGGTCCATAGGAACAACTTCATGGATCTTGTCCATAAATCCAGACCAGTCGCCCATGCCTGGTGGTAAAAACCATTGTTATTTAAACAGTTTAAAATATTCATTGCTAAGTACATCAAGAAAATTCAAGACTGAAAAAGATAGTGACCTAAGAGACGGCTGACAAACGGTTTAACATCAAAAACTTCAAACTCGTCCATGTGCTCTCCTGTTCCAATAAATATAACAGGACTCCTTGTTGCTGCAACACTGCACGCATATAGTAAATGAAAATCTAGTTGTCAAACAGTCACTGAGATTAATGATCCAAGAGTTACAATTTTCAACTGCTTTGATTGCAATGAGCAAGAAGTTTCTGTTCTATAAGAGTAAAACCAAATTAGAACATAAATTAATCCATAATAAGTTAAGAATGAACTCTGGACCATGATTTTGCAAACAAGAAAACGGGAGAAGCGACCAATGCTTCTCTGTAAGTGCATACTCTAGAAACTCTAAAACACTATGTTCTGTTTTTCACACCACACCTTAGTAAGGACTAAAACTCTGTGTCTTGTCTTTAGACATTATTTTATAGGTACACTATCAAATTTAGTTTTCTATGTTATTTCCATAGCTGGAAATCCCAGAAACCAAAGAGGTACTTTCCTTCACTGTACCTATTCTTTGGTATTGAACACTAGACTAATGTTTGAAGTTAAAGTTCATGAAAATTTTGGAATAGCATTACAAGACTGAGAAGGCAGATTAGCAGAAAAAATACATATAATACATAAAAGGGAAGATTTCAGATATGTCACCTGAACTCATACACGAGTTTCAATTGTCACCTCAGGAAAACACAATTGTTTAAGAGAAACGCCACCTTGATTTTTCAATATTCCAAATGTGTCACCTAACACTAACTCTGTCCAAAATTCTGCTAAAAAAAATGTTTCCTACTGCCCCAGCATTTTAGCCATCAAAGGAGTGCTTCACTTATCTTCCTAGCTATGACTACTTACAGACCCAGGAGCGATTTCCTACCGTCGTCTAGCGTTTCTTTTCCTTCCCATTAAAATCCAAGTTCTGCAGAAAATTTCCGGCCACCTCAAGAGTACAAATTCAGCAGTCTCACATAGATCAAACCCCAACAAGATAAATATTTCTTATACAATAACATTCCTGAACCATTTTACTTCAAATCCCATCCTTAGAAAAACATTGAGCTGGTTATTAGGGGACTAACCACTGATGGGTACATATGGTAGGTGTTGTGCAACGTAAGTTTGGTACTACCAATAGTGTTTCACAGTGAGAACTTTGGGTTAGCAAAGAATGTACTGCAATTAGAGATTTAGGTATCAGGGTAAATATATAATTTGAATGTTCGGGGTTGGAACATAATATGGATGTCAATGTGGTTTGGCTTACCTACGTGAGGTGGATGTACAACGGGAGGTTTTGAAGATTTGAGCGAGACAAGAGGTTATAGTTTTAATTGTTTTTAATTATTTGTTATATTTCAATTTTGCAAACTATTTCAAAAATTTACAACTATAGCAAACTTTTCCCATGAATTGCACAGGTTGAAAACTAGTCTATGAACAAAAACCAAATACTAAGTTTCCAGAGTAATCTTAATGGACCATCTTCTTATGAGCTATATCAATGCTTAGATCAAACTAAAAATTATTAAATTACACATTGCAATATTTGCAGCAAAACTTACGCACTAAGAGCACCACCTCCCTTTGCATGGCCATCCATTTTTGTAACAATAACAGCTCCAACTGAAACACTTTGCCTAAAGGCTTGAGCTTGATCAAAAGCAGCCTGACCAATACTGCTATCCATAACAAATATAACAAGATCCGGTTTCTGGAATATGAGAGAAAGTATATTAAGAGAATGATATTATCAAACAAATGAAATCATCTGAAAGTTTACATAGTACGAAGTTCCAGAACAAATACCGTTGCTTCAGAAACTTGACGCATTTCTTCAAAAAGGGCAGCTTCTTGTTTGTGACGCCCACTAGTATCAACAATTATAAGATCACAATTCTCCTTTTTGAACGTTTCCACACCTTCAACTGCAATTTTCATAGGGTCCGACTCCATATAGCTGCAGGGGAAAATACCAATAATCACTTGAATGCTTAAGGCATCAAATTCTGAGAAGAAAAACATATTAATAGTATAGAAATAAAGATGGATATGCAGGAGGACACCACGGATGGCTGCCTGTAATGACCACCATCTTTTTCCTAACTCCAAAAACATCAAACCGTGATCCATACCAGTGGATTATGAGACCAAACTATAGCCACTGCGATACTAATCTAAATACTACCTTCCCCTTTCCTTCACTTCCCCTATTTAAAAAATAACTAATATCTAGAACTGAGATGTTTACATAAAGAAAAGAAAAATTCAACATTCTCAAACTTCACAACTCTTTTGGGCTTGTAATTGTCAAAAGAAAAAACCAGTAGAAAGAAAAAATAGTACCTTCCATAAAATGGAATCTTAGCCTTAGTGGCATTCTGCTTCAACTGATCAAATGCACCAGCTCGAAATGTATCTGCACACACTAGGGCAGGTTTCCATCCTTTTTTCTGATAATAATATGCATATTTTGTACATGTTGTGGTTTTTCCAGACCCTGCATGTTTTAAGAAAATTAGATGAATTGATTAAACATGTAATGTAAATGGAATAGATAAATCCAATTGAAGACCAACACAAAATAAGATATAAATACAGCATACTTCAGCTAAAAGTACATTTTAAAGTCCAAGCAACTTCTTTTTCACTAATCATTAAATCTCTTCCAGATAGCTAGTTCAATTGGAACTTAATAACTAAAATTGTTGCACATAAGAAATGTGAAATAATCCAATCAAGAATCAACTTTCTGACCCAAAAAAAAAAATCCAACCAGTGCGAAATTAGTGAGCATACCTTGTAAACCAACAAACATGACAACACTTGGTTTCCCTTTCTTGGGAGTGAAAGACGGTTTCCCTGGATCCAGCATTTTGCAAAGTTCGTTAAATATAGCCTATAAAATAGAAACACTTCATTAGAAAACACAGAAAACGAAGAGAAAAAAAAAGTTAAATAGATCATCGAGCATCAACATATGAAATTTGCTGCATAACTGAATACAAAAGAAAAAAAGGATGGGGGAGGGGGTGGGGGAAGCCAGGGTTCAATGAACAGCAAAGAAAGAATCCCCCGCAGTAAAATGAGTGCTTAACATAAAGGTTTCCATGAAAATATATCCAAAATCCAGCTGTTGGAAGTGTATGTATCTGCATATTCTAGTCTATTTAAAACCGTTTACCATTCTAACGAGTCTAAAATGAAATATTAGTTTTTTTTTTTTTAAATTTTAAATTTAAATTTTTTATAAAGCAAACCTTGATGCACACATTGTAGGCTACACATGATAAACAAGTGAACATCTACTTGATATTTGTCGCTATTTCCTTGAGAAAAGTTAAATTAAGCTAAACCTTAGGGTGAACTTGTTTATGTCTGTATGTCTAAAGTTCTCAATGCATCGAATTGGCAAGTTTTTATTCCATTTTACCAGACAAGCTTGCAAATGCTACTAACCCCAACTTTACTAAAATGCACGATTTTGATAAGCTCAATATAAGATTAAAAAACTAAGCCCCAAATTCAATACCAACTTAATAACATCCAAAAACACCAAATTTATTCTAAACGCTCGTCATCAATCAACCAACTACAACATAAAAAAGAACAAAAGCTTGAGAGCGTATGAAAACATTTACTTGCTGAATAATCTTGCGCTTGTTGTGACCAGCAGCGAGATCATCCAAATTGACAATCTTTTTTATATTGGTCTGCATGTCACGGACAAGCTTGAATTGAACATCGGATTGGAGCAAAGCCCGAGTGATCTCGTTGAGGCACTCGTTCAGGACCTTCTCGTCGATCACGGTCGCATTGCTCATCTGCTGGAGAGCACGTGAAATGCTCCCCCCCAATTGCGCCAACACCATCTTCGCTGATTAAAGGAGAAGAACTTGATGGGTTTGGTTGAGAATTTGGGAATTGATTGCGAATTCTGGGATTGGGTTTAAAGGAAATTTGGGCCTAGGGTTTGGGTGAAAATTAGGGGTAGGGTTTGGGAGAAATCAGAAATAAACTGATGTCTCCTCTTATCGATATGTGATTAACCTGACTTTGAAGAAACTGTAATCGATTCGAAACGGAAGAACTCTCCCGACCAAAATTGAATTGGGTTCTTTTTACACAAAATGGTACCTAATCTTTGTCCAAATTTTATTTTGGTCCCTAGATTTTTTTTTTGGTCTTGCTTCATAGGCCTTATTTGGGGTGTGCAAAAACAACCATCCAAACCAAATCAATCCTACCCTGGAGGAGTTAGTTGGATTGGCCCAGGGCATTAATGTGTTTCCAAATGGTCTTGGATTAAAGTCCCATGATGCTTGTGAGTTTCCTTTCCCCCTCCTAACTTTTGCTTTAAAATAAATTAAAATTTAAAATTAAGAAAAGAAAAACCAAATCAATCTTAGCATTTGGATTCGGTTAAACTTTAGACCACCTTAGAGGGACAAACTAAAGTATTCTATTGTGGAATCAAGAAGAACGTAATGATGTTGTTTTTTTAAAAAAAAATTAAAAAAATATATATAAGTATATAATATTATAATTTTATTAGAATTTATAATTATTTTAATTTTCATGTCGCTGTGTCCTTATTTTTTGAGATTTTCCGTGTCGTCGTGTCGTGTTTTCGTGTCCCCGTACCTGTGTTTGTGCAACATAGTTTATCACAATTGCTATGCGCGACTTACAAAGGTTTTTTATTTTTGTAATTATATTTTTCTAGATGGTCGTTTTCAAAGTTTTCCTCTATTAGGCGTATTTTTTTAGATGTCCGTCTGCCACTATTTATCCCCGTATTTTTCTAGATGTCTGTCTCTACAGTTTACACACAAAAGTGTGGGTATTACGCACAATTAATTGAATAAGAATCCCCTTAGCTCCTAAAGTTTATTAGACTAGTCTCTCTGCACGTGCGAGGGTTTTTTTTTTTAATCATGCGTGCTACGCGCGACTTACAAAGTTTCATTTTAATTTTTTCGCAATTGTATTTTGCTAGTTGCCCATATCAACAATTTTAATTTTTTATCACCCTTATTTTTCTAGATGCCCATCTCAATAGTTTACACGCGATAAAAGAAAAAAAAAAGAAGAAACTATTGAGACGGGCATCTAGAAAAATAAGGGCGATAAAAAAAATTAAAATTGTTGATATAGGCATCTAGTAAAATACAATTGCGAAAAAATAAAAATGAAACTTTGTAAGTTGCGCGTAGCATGCATGATTAAAACAAAGCCTCTCGCACGCGTGGAAGCGAGTGCAGAGAGGTTAGTATTTTTTATGAGAAAAATATAGGCATTTTTTTTGGTTTGGAAAAAATTAAGGCCTTTTTAAACTTTGGTTATTTCTTTAAGTAAAATTTGATTAATTTTTAGCAATCGTGTCACCTTGCCATGTAGTATAAATATAATCATTCACTCATGTTATAACTTGGGTATAAGCTTGTTGGCACTAAAACTGAACAGATAGAGATGAGTGCAACTTACAAGTGAGATGGACGATCGAGAGATCGATTGAGTGTTAGATGCAGATTCTTCCTGTCCTCGGATGCTGATCCTGAATGGAAGGAAGCCGAGACTCGTAAGGTCTATGGAACCGGTGTGGAACCAGCCTAAGACCCTCCGATGCCAAAGTAAGTTTGTTTTCTAAGAGCTTTTGCTGTTGACAAGATATTAGTATAAAAGTCAAGCTGAAAAGTCTTACCCTTGTACTGTAGTGAAGGGGCCTATTTATAGAGGGCATTTTGTATGCTCTTAGTACTTAATTTCGATGTGGGACTCGTGGG